ATATACATAGGCTCATTTACATAGGTACACATGTGAACAAAGAGTACTGTCTGTGTGTGTGTGTGTGTGTGTGTGTGGCTGTGTGTGTGTGTGTGGGGGTGTCAGAATGTGACCACATAAATAACTTCCCTAACCCTGCTGGTCTGGAAGTCCAGCAGTTCATCTAAACAAAAGGCACTTGTACTAAAACAGATATAGATGTGTTTGCTGTACCATATATCAGTAAGAGAAGATACGAGATCTCTCATGACCCTAGAGTGTGAGTGTGTATGCCAGAACACTCTGGAATGCACACAAAGTCTTTGCAGACTACTAAGGATCACACATCCTATCACTACACAATCGATTATACACCTCTAAGCATATATGGTTAAATATTTCTAAGCATAAATGACAATCAACAATATAACCCTGTCAGACAGCCAGAATGTTACCGGAATAACCAAAAATGACTGAAAATGGATAAAATGTTAAGAACATCTAAAGTTTGTCATATTTTTCATGAACAGAAAAGATGGAGATAGCCACCATGACATCACCCATGGGAGTCATTAAGTTCCACTGCGAAGGCTTAAATGAAGATTTTTGTCATCACAATCATGGTGTCTTGGAACAAATGAGGGGTGGATATAACTGAAATCAAGGAAACTGCACTCTTATAGCATAGCGATGTGTCAGTCAGTTCTCTGCAAAAATATAGAATGAACAGATTTATCGGTTATAAAAATATAACAGCAGAAACATGACCTTTTACTGTTGTTTCTTATATTAAAATGTATTGATATATATCTGAATATAATATGACATAAGAACTAAAATGTTGGAAAACAAAGTATAAGCTGTGTATTAGATTTCTAGTGTTCCAAGTGGCTGAAGAGTGTGTACTGAATTATTCGAAGGCAAAAATGAATTGCCATTAATGATCTAAATATGCGTATTTACTGATAAGAAAAGTAAATGCTGCCCTACTTCTTATCTGACACTGAAAAGGACAAGATCAGCAGTTTTTCTAGAAATTAATTGTTAATGTTTTTCAAACAAAAATAATAGAAAAGATAACTTTTTCTTAGGTCTGAACTGCAAGTTGCTGCATTTCTTTACATCAGTGTGAACTGCGGGTTCAAGATATTGCTAAGCAATTTTATGACCCAACACTTTGGGGGTGTCACCCTCACCACATAAAGCTCAATTAGATTCTCAGATTAGCTTTATGTGGTCAATAACTTTTTCCACACTGAGCCAGGCTAACATCATTACAAAAAAAATGCTAGGATATCAAAGAGACCACCAGCAGCGCACATTGACTGTAACCATCTTATTGTGGTTTAAGCTCTGGGTAGTATTTTGGTCACTAGGATGAAGGGAAAACTATCAAATATTCAGATGTGCACCGAATTAGAAAAGCATTTCAGAAATTGGGTGGGTGGACCACAGCTAATCTCGTTATCTCTTGATACTACTTTTTTTCACATACAGTGAAAAATGTATGTACCTTACTGCTAATTTTTGTACCCTGCAAAATCAGCCAGTGGCACCAAACGGCCAACAGCCATGTAGCCACTAATCTAGGCCTTATGTTTCACTTAATCACTTGATTAATGAAAGAAATATTCAGCAGACGCAATGATAACATTAACTTAGATGCACTTCTTATTTCACATGTTAGAAACATATTATGGATTTTTTTAAATGACAGTTTATCCAAATAAGTGTTTGCGGTCTAGTTTCTTTTTATTCCTTTTCATATTGGGTTTCAATTTTATACTGCAGCTATGCTAGTTGTATTGTTGTGCATGGGACAATTAAAGCTCTCCAATCTTTAATAAGTGAATGCATAAACATACACTGCCCTCATGACAACCTTATCAGGTGTGTGCAGGTTAAAAGCTCAACCCTGACCCCTTATAAGAGTAGTACAACATGTGCCCCGATGATGAAATGTGCTTTGTGTGTGTGTGTGTGTGTGTGTGTGTAGGCTGTGGTGTTCCACTAATCAATAGTGCTGGTGAACAGAGAGAGGGGGGGCTGTCGAGCTCACACAGGTTTAGGTCCCTGGTGATATGAAGGTTGCAGATTTTCAGAACAAAACATCATCAGGTGTTAGATTATGTCAATGCACACCCACCTTTCTTGAACTCCTCCAGCATGGCATCCAGTTTTGTGTCATGAAACACAAAGTGCACAGGGTGGTTATAGAACTTGGTGATGGTCTTTAGGTTTGTGCAGTCGTCCGGGTCCACGAAGGCCAAGTCCTTCACATACAGGATGTCCACGATGTTGGACCGCTCCTCATCATACACGGGTATGCGCGTGTATCCGCTCTCCATGATCTCTGACATAGTGTTGAAGTCCAGCACAGCATCTGCCTGGATCATAAAGCAGTTGGCTAAGGGAGTCATCACATCCTCCACAGTTTTGGTCCTGAGCTCCAGGGCTCCCTGGATCATGTTAAGCTCCTCTTTGACCAGGTCATTATAAGGCTCTGTCACTTTAAGCATCTCCACCAACTTCTCTCTGTTGTACACAGTGCCGATCTCCTGTCCCAGCAGGAAATCCAGCAGCTTGCTGACGGGAAAGGACAGAGGAAAGGTAAGGAACATGAAGAACTTTGTGACCAGGATCGTGTTTGCTCCCACAGCCAACCCGTGACGCGAGCACAGCGCCTGGGGGACGATCTCCCCAAATATGACAATGCCAATTGTAGAGGCGACCACGGCGCCCAGACCTGACCCGATGAGGTCATCGAGGAGGATGGTGAGGGTGGTGTTCACCAAAACGTTACCCAGGAGAAGCGAGCATAGGAGATAGTTGCCTTTGCTGCGGATCGGTTCGATTTTCCTCGCATATTTCTTCTCCTTGTCGGTGCCGCAGCTCTGAACGATCCGCAGCTCCATGGGGTCCAGCGCCATGAGCCCCAGGTTCAACCCGCTGAACATGCCCGAGAGGACCAGCAGGCACGAGATCATGATGACCTGCAGCCACATGGGTAGCAGCGACTTCTTCTCCTCCACCACCAGCATCCGGCCATCGCTGTCCCCCAGCTGCACCCACCTGCCGTCCGTGTTTAACGTGCACAGAGCGTATTCTTTCTTCTGGTCGCTTTTGCGCAGCGGCTTAATGTGCACGTTGAGCAGTCCCGACGTGCCCCGGCTGCTCACGTTTATGAAGTTCCCGACGGTGATGTCCTGCGTAAAATCTGCACAAGTTTTATCGAGCGCGTCCATCATGCCGCTGCCGCCCCGGGCCGCCGCCACCACCGTCCCCTTCTCCTCCTCCTCCTCCTCCTTGACCTCTGTGAACTGGATCTCAGTCCAGGCGCCCGAGTGAAGCTGGACCCCGTAAAACCGGAGCTGCACGGAGCTCTCCTCGGTCACCTGGATGACACCCTCGTCAGTGGTGCTGGCCGGCTTGTTGCTCCTCTCCAGCCTCATGCCGAGCACCTGACTCCCACCGCCTCCGCCGCCGCCTCCCCTTCCACCGCTGACACCGGGCCCAGCGGCTGCCACCAACTCTGTCCGGCCGCTCCACAGACAGATAACCACGGTGAGAATGTAACCCTGCTGTCCACTCCATTCTGTCGCCATGTTTGTTTCTGTGCTCGGCGACCTGGGAGCTGACGTCATTTACTCATGTCCAAGCAGCTCCTCCCTCTCCCCCCATTCCCGCTATCTCTCACATACGCTCACTCATACACGGACACATACACACATTAACACCGACTGCCGGACAGCGACATGTAGAGCTGATAAACAAACACACGCTCCTTGCAGGTCACACACGCTCCTGGTGACGCTTCGCTATCATTTTTCTGCAGCAACACTCACACTCCCCCCGCCTCAGTGCCCGGCCACGTTACTCCCCGCTGGGCTCGGGGCACTGCGGCACACAGCAGGACGGACGCTGCTGCTGCTGTTCCTGGCCACCGATTTCTCGTCCAATTGTATCCAAAGCCAGTTGCGGTTATGTAAAGGCACATGGCATCTGTGTACATGCCCCCCCGCCCTCCATCCTCATCCTGCACCAGCCTGCATCCCGCTGGCACGATGCCCGGCCAGGGATGCTAGATGCAGGGGACGTTTATTTATTTCCTGAGAGACAAACTCTGTGGAGCCAGGATATAGCCCGTTTGTATAATGATAATAATTACATAAGCTGTCTGTATCAGTTCAGTTAAGATGTGGAAAAGCCTAATAATTTCCGAGGTTGACTATTACATTACTGCATCACTGCATTGTCACGGATTTTTTTCCCCAGTGCACAGTGTTTATTAGCCATCTTTATTTATTATTAGATTCTAATATTCGCTAATTAGCTGTTATGTAATAAGCCAATAACGTTAAAAGTCCTTTCCTGTAGCGTCACCCAGTGGCCACACCACTTATCAAAACTGTACTTAGGTCTGAGGTAAAATTATTTCTGAGGGGCCGAACGTGCCAAAATTAATACAAATACAATGGTTATCATATCGTCTTGTCTCCGTGCCATTTTGTCTCTTTATGTGAGTCTTTTTGTGTTTATTTGTTGTTATTTTGTATTGCCGATGCCTGGGTCCAGCGAACAACCCTAACTGAACACATTACGAAGCATTCTGACCGATTTCCTCTTTTAAAGCGATGTGCACAGACACAGACATTTTTCTTTAGTCACAGCATGCGAATTTTAAAACGAATTGAACGTTTGTTCCTTTCACATGGTTTGATTTCATGGTGATGTCTATGGCTTCTAGACTTCAGGCAGTCACTGACGCTTCAGAAAATGAGAGACTATGTAAAAAAAACGTATGTAATTCCCAAACAGTGTCTAATCTAAAGTATTTGTTAAACAAACAGAATTAAAGCTGAAAGTTTGCAGTCACATACTGATTATTATGTGTTTCTGTAATACCACACTTGCATGTGCTTGAACATAAGGGATACTGTATTAAAAAACAGTACAAAAGGTTTGTATTTATGAATAAAAATGTATTTATTAAAATTCCACAATGACAGAGTTTCCAATGATTAAGAAATAAACCAGCATCATTTTACATCATGACGTCATGCTTCTTTAGATTGTGGATCAATTATAATTATGTACATCTTTAATTTCAAGAGATTACAGTGCAGCAATCAGTAATTTTAAAGGCCATTATTATCCAGTTTGAGCAGAGTGGAGGTACACTTATCAAACAAAACTTCAGAATTTGATTTGATAAATAGCCCCAGAAAGTAATTTGACTGTTTTGCCTCTGTGCATGTTTGTAGTACCATGTGCTTTTAACACATACACCAGTCAAATACAGAAACGTCAGTCAGTGGATGGGTAGCTCAGGGGCTCTCCCTACAGGTAGAGGTAAGCCAAGCAGAGCCTACACCAAGATAAGATTTTTTTCCTGTTAATTCCAAACAATTTTACAGCAATTTTATTGTTCTTTAAGCTTTAATATACAATCCCAAACCAGAAAAACTATTTGTACTTGTGGACTTTATATGCAATTTGCACATAAACTAAGCCTACCCATTACGTTCTGGTGTTATTTTTCTTTTTCTTTTTTACTCTTAGGCTGTTAAACACAACTGAGTCTATAGGTGAAAAATTAACACTGTCTTTTAAATATAAATTTAAAGAAATAGTCAGTTACAATCCATTATTCTCACATGTCTAAAAGATAGAATTGTGATATTGCTAAGTTGGTTAATTTACACAGTCTACATTTATGACACCTTTCTTTTAAATGTAGTAGCTCTGTTCCAATCTTACCCACCAAAGTGCCTAAAATGCCCACTTGTAATACTGTATTACTTTACAGTGTGTTTCCTCTAACACGGAAGTTTGTATTACTTAACCTCTTAAACCATATTTCCACTGGTTAATCCTGGCGTGTTTTGTATCATGAAGGTAGTTAGCTTCTTATGAGGGTATATTGCCATGGTAAATTGTACTGTTGTTGAGCAGGATATGTTCCAAATTCCAGCTCTAAGCATTCATTTGAATTCAATTTTTATATTTATTCTTTACATGCTCTCAAACAGCTAATAACAATCCAGGCAGCAGAATAAAACCTAAAACTCTCTTTTAAAAAATAATGAAATGTACAAGCTGATAACCAGCTAATAACCAGGTTAGTGGATGAATCCAGATTACAAAAAGACACCCTGGATATGTTCAACTCTCTTCATAGAACAGGCCCAGATTACAAAAACAAAACATGTCAATATTAAGACAGAGAAACTATGTACAAGATGCAAAACTACCACAATGAGCTGAACACATCTACACAGACAGGATGACTATAAAGAGACAAATATGGCAACAAAAACATGATGTTGTGGGCCTTTTAAAACTTAAGGCCTTTTGTCTTGTATCCATCCCAAATTGACGCACTTATACAAAGCACTTATATTATACTATATTTCACAAAGCACGTATATATTAACATCTTACTAATATATTACCATATTATTACAAAAATTACTAGAACAGTAAATCTTTACAAATGTGGTCCTTCAGTATTAAATGATGAGCTTGTACAGTTAATTGTGGTTCTGGTTTGAAATGCTGTATAAAGTAAACATTTCTTTTTGTTACTGTTGTTCTGAATGGTTCTTCTTTGCAGTGGAAAACAATGGCTACATTACACCGTGGGCACACCAACCCTGTTATTTCTCTCAATTTGTTTAATATTTCCCTTAATAATACTGTATGTACCACTCAATACTAGCTAAAGCTACCACTAAAAGATGCTGAAGTAAACCTTCAGAAGTCTGTGAAAAGCTCTCCAATTAAAGTAACTCATCTGTTACATTAACTACAAGCCTTAAGAAGCCAAACACACCTAACAGTGTTTAATTATAATGTGTACAGTGTCCTAAATGTATGTGTAAATACATGTTCAGAAATTATCTCATGATTTAGCGTTTGATTGAGAAATATATATTGATTGATGATTTAGATATTTTGTTTAACTTCCCTCACAAGCTTAAATCACAGACTACATATAGATGAATTACATAAAGTTTGTGATCAAAATGGGGCTGAACCCCACCCGATAATTCCCTTGAGAGGGGGTAGATACCAAAAACACAGCTTAAAATGAATCAGATGTATACAAAAACATCTCCAAATACATGATCATCTTGGTCTGACTGGTGATGTTGTTAATAACATGTGTTCACAAACTTTTTTTTTTTGCTGATTCAAAGTGACCAGTAAAATCAGCTATCATGGGTTGTTTAGCAATTAGTCAGGTAAACTTCGAGTTTTAATCAGTGAAAAGTTCTATAAAGATAAAGAAAGCTGCAGATTCAGCTGTGACTCCCAAATTCAGCCTGGTTTTAAGTCACTTCGTAATAAAATTACAACAAATGTATGCATGTGTGTATCATGAATTCATACATACTGAACACAGTGGAAAAAGTGGAGGTAATTTAGCCCCGATGGGATGACATAGCTAACTAGTAACAAAGATCAGAACTGTGTCCTCTCAGCTGTGGGTGTCCTCACTGTAGCCTTCCATCACCACTGCTGCGTGGATATTGCATCAGAACATCTGCCGGTGGAATAACTTCAACCTTGTATCTCACTTTCTTGGACTGAAGGATGCTGTAGCTGTTATCAAAACACAGCACATCTGCACAAAGCAAAGGATACAGTCACTAACAGCTAAGAAAAGCTATCATCCTGTAAACACATAAAATACTTTATTGATCCCACAAGGGAAATCACCGCGTTACAGCTACACTTCTAAATCACTCTATAAATGTGACAGGTTGTGTTTTAATAAGAATTTTGTTGATTCTGAATATGTGAACACCCTATAGCATCCAAAGAAGAGCTAGCCTTTTGCTACATTCTCTGTCCAGATGATCCCTCACTGCTTTCACATAAAGGTCATACTGGATTAGCGAGAGCCTTCACTGTATTATGACTGTAAGACACTCACTGTTGTACCTCTGTCCTGATATCAATGACAATTTAAACCAAAATTTCACATCTGGAGTCATCACTACATAACATTTATTGGCACTTGATTTTCAGTCCAGTTTTTATGTAATTTGGTATACTTCAACTTCTCAACTGCTGTACGTAATTTTTTTTTAGGTCTGCCACATTTTCTTTTGTCCTCCACTTGACAGTTTCCTCACATTTTCTAAGGACCCACTGCATACAATGTTGAGATATGCCAAGTTTTTGGCCAATAGCTCTTTGGGAATCACCTTGTTAGTGCAAAAGTACTATTGTATGCCTATTAAACTGTTATCTTTGGTGGTTTGAAAGGCAGTCTGACATTTAGCTAAGGAAAAGGGAATAAATTATGTGCTTTGTGTTTTTACAACAGGCTGCTAGTAACGAGGTACGTAAAGTTACAATTTAAAATTGAATTTAAGTTATCCGTTATGTCCCTTGAGTTAGGAGCCTTGAATATGCTTAAATGATTCACATGTCAATTGTTAAAGTGCCTCAACAAACAAACAAAAAGGATTCCTATATAAACGGTCTTTGACTAGAGTTTGAAAGATCTTTAGAAAGCTGGAGGACTGTTGCTCAAGTCCACTTAAAGAAAAAATAACAAGAAAGTCTGGCGCATTGGAAGCAAAATGAAATGAGCAATTTTCATTGTTACAGACTAATTCTGCAGACATTACTGCAAAAGTACCTGTACACACAGCTGTGAGTTACTTACAGACTCCAGGCTCAGGACAGGTGAGGCAGCTATCTTCAGGGACCAAGTGTGCATTGTAGCGCTCGCTGGGTAGAACTTGCTGCATTTCAGCTATCTTCTGTTGGCTGCCCTCTTTAGTCCTCTTGTACACTCCAAACCCAATATCTGCTCCATCACTGGCAAACTGCCACCTGACAAGCAATAATGAATTCATCATGAGTGGCAGCTTTAGTATTTTTTTTTAATTTAATTTTATTTTAAAGTCTATATCACTAAATCACCACAAACACACACTACAAGTCAGTGATTCATTGTTCTGAGAACACAGAATAAACCTGCTGTACCTCAGGAGGCTGCTGGCTGCAGGAACATCATACTCCAGCTGGATGACAGAGCCACGGCTGATGGTCACACTTTTGTTATACTGAACCTTCACTGAATCCTGCACATAGTAGGACTTGGGAACTGTACCACC